TTTTGGTGCATGTCAAGGGTAATGTGTTCCCTTTCATATCCTCAAAAAGGCTCGGACCTTTTGAAAAATGCACACCCTGGAAATTCCTCTCAGCTCTGTAAGAATACTTGAGACAGACAGACAGGCAGACAGTTAGTCTGCATAGGGGTAAATGGTGAGTGAGAGAAGACCAAACCAATTTTCTTGTGAGCCCCCATGTATTTGTGCAGCGTTGTGGTTACCTGTGCCACATCGGCACACGATTGAGCGTCTAGTAATTTTGAAGTCCATGCAACTATGTGTACTGACAGGGAAAACTCCTGCTACTTAATGTTTAAATACTATACTGCAAAAAGTTTTTGCCAACTCCTTTTAGCTTAAAACTCTAAGAAACATCTGTCAACGTCTGGGTGATGATGATGAACAATAGGCTACCACCCATCTTTGTTGGCCCAGTGTTTTAGTGCAGCTCTAGAGAAACAACCCTGCTTGTTTTTGTTGTTCTGTATGATTTGACAAAAAAGAACAAGTAGTAGTCGATGTCAAAATGGAGTCCAGCATGCTCAGAGGCAGAAGCCTCCTGGCTTTTAAGAGTATGTTACAGAAATGAGACTTTGGAAAAAACTATAAAATTGCCCACTTCAAGAACTGAATATTAGTTGAAATGCAGTTCCTCATCTGAAAGAGAAACAGGGTGAGAACTTGTGGATCTCCTTTAACTATTCAGAAATATGCACACTTTTCATGTTAAATTCTGTGTTAACGGGGCTAATGAACACTAATACAGCTGCTTCCGTAGAAGGCTGTGTGAAAAGGCTTTTCAGGCTGATCATGGCATCCATGATGGGAGTGCTGTTTCAGTAAGCTTAATTGCCATTGCTAAGTGCTTTGACAGCTGGCTTGTATCCACCTGTGCTTTAGTGATGATTTGTTAAATATCCTTTAAGACTCGCTAGGGACATGTGGATTTGGGGGCTGGGGGGCAATGCATGCTACTAAAGCTCCTTTGATTCACTTCAGCATCTTTTCTCAAGCAATCTGAATTTAGGAATCTGTCAAATTAGAAGATGCTATTTGTATGAATGTGTTCAGCATAGTTTCAGTATCTCCCTCACTGTTTGTCCTAAATTTTATATGTTAAAATTTGATTCAGATACTTCCCTTTGGAACCACTTCAAGAGCTGCCAAATGAGAAATCTGTGCTGTGTGCCCATTTGTACTGTAAAGAAGGCAGTGAGCTGCCTTTTAATTAAATGGGATTTTCAGATCTGTTGTTTAAAAACTAAAAAACAAGTTTTGGATTGTCTTAAGAGCAAGCATCAGCTTTTTGGAAAGCAGAACTGGTTTGTATTGTAACAAGTGCTCTTTCAATAAACTATGAAATACTCTTGTAAGTGTCAGACTTGTCTTAGTGAAATGGAAATGAAACTTGGTTGTGGTCTTGTCCTGACTTTTGTTTTCTCATGGGTGTGGTATATTCTAGCTGAGTTAAATTTAATGTTTTTTTTCTTTAATTGTTCCTCACGCTGGTTCTTGTATGTCTGCCCTGATTGTTCTGCTGCAAAGTTATGTGAAAAGCAGCCTACACAGATCTATTTCTACTGTCGTAGAGTTTGTTTAAAAAAAAAAAAAAAGTTATTCGTAGCTCAAGGGGATATGCAGGAAGCAGCCACGTGCACCGCAGCACCTTCTTACTCATCACCTAGGTCCAAAGAATAATTTAAGCTGTTATGGTATACTGTTCTGATTTAAAAAGCTATTGGTCTAGTCTGAATGTACTTTTTTTTCTGTTTTCAGAAAGTCCGTGATTAGCATGACCCTAGCTATTTCCATGCCCCTGGCCAAAATAGATTTTGCATTCCCTTCTTCCGTGTTCATGCAGCCAATGATCCCGACAAGTTTGAAGCTGTACAGCAGTATGCCGTGGCTTCCAGGCAGTCTGGGGCCCAGACCTTCAAGATAGCTTCCAGATGCAGGTTTTTCTTCTCTAGCAGTTGAGGCACCTTTATGTTATCATGTTACTAACAATTATGGGTGTATAATCGCTAATTAGATCTGGAAATGCTGCTCTGGGGAGCTGTCCAGTCTGTCAGTAGAGCAAACCGCCCCTTAGGACAATGCAGCCAGTGCCCCTTCTGTGTGAAACAACCAGAAATTCATCCGCTCTCTTTGGCTCAGTACTAATTATTTTTAAATACTACTGTAGTAGTGTTTAAATATACTGTAGTATCAAGTGCCAGGAGCAATCTTAGAGTCCTTTTTCTGCTTGTCGAAAAGGTACCTATTTCTTTTTTGACTATGGGAGAATAAACTTGAATTCTTAAAAATAGTAGGTGGTTTGGTGGTATGGAGATAATAGAAAAAATGGCTACTTATATTCAGTGTCTTTATATCTAGATATTTAAATATATAAAAGATATATTTACTTGGCTCACAAGTGAAAATATAGAAAGAAGATAACAAGAAAAATGTTTTTAAATGAATGTAACAAGTCTGGTTTTTTTCATGTTAGCAAGTAAAATTTAGGGTGGAACACTCCTGATTTTTTTTTATTTTTTTATTTTTTTTGACCCTTCCTTCCTGCAGCCTTTCAGTTTCTTCAGACAAATCTAATCAAAGGTCCTACCACTTTAAACGCTTCCTTCTTGGAGCTTTTCTCCAACACGTTCTTTATTCCTGGAATCCAGACACTCAAAATATAGCCTCAGATTATTTCTTTCAGACTGCAGGAAAACAAATTCTGTGCCCTTCCTTGAAAGTAAGACAAGCTTGCTTCTGTCATTTCAGAGCTGAACTCTTTTTATCTTGGTTTCAAATGTAATAGTATTATCTACATGGATAGAAAAATAATGAAAGAGATGGTGCCTTTATGTTAAAAGACTTTTTAAGGACACTTTGGGCATTCTAGAGCTATTGAGCTATTGATAAGTCTGAAACCTCCTCAAATATATAATATTTTTCTAGTGAATCATTAAAAATTTCAGAAGGCATATCTAAGGAGAAGACTTAAGTTTTCTCTGTGATTCTTTTGCTGCTAGGCTAAGATTTAAGAAACGTATCACATATACAGACGGATGTCCTCATACACTGTTAGTATGCAACCATCTCTGAGGGAATGGAGCAGAAACAGCTAAAGAAGGAGCATTTTAGCCGAAAAGAATTTCAAAAGGAAATTCAAAAATCAGAATGTGGCCCTTATACAAAGGCATTATATCTTCAATACTTTGGTCTTTTCTAAATATCATGGGACCTGTAAGGCTCTTAACTTACTGGAAATTTTGCACTTTCAGCGTGGTGTTGTTCTAAGAGCACAGCTGCCAACTTTTAATGCTATCTCCAGGAAATCTTATTGCAAAGCTTAAAGAAACATTCAGATTTACCTCCTTTCCAAATACCATTCCAAGGTCTTTCTGGCTGAAGCTGTGTTCAAATTTGATGTGATCGCATTGTGACTCTGAAGTCTTGCACTGGCAGGAAAACAAAGAATATAATGGGAGGCCTCTGTAAAGCTTTCCCTCTATGACTGTTAGACATAAGATTGTCTACAAGAAATGCGTTGGGGAAGAATTTGAGGATTTGGGGACTGTGGAAGAGATAAGGCTGGAATGCAACACGAGTGACTTCAAGAATTCTCTTAAAGATCTCTAACGCTTTTAGTGAATTGCTGTTGCATATCTGCCTTTGTATTCCTGTTTAAAAACCCTGAGAAGCCAGTTTCATTTGTCTCATATATGCTAAAGGATAATTTTAAAAATTAAAATATAGTAGTGAGGTAGGTTCTGGGACCTGAAGTGCTGTGACTGTATCTGTTCTAAATATAGCTTCAAAGAGTAGTAACTAGTGCAAAAAACAGAACGATGGGAAGAGTTTGTTTTACCAGCAAACAATAAAGGTTATAAGGCTGTAAGGGCATTTATTTCAAGGGGTGATTATCCTGAAGAGGAAGAAAATGATCTTACATAGAAAGTACTGCCCAAGAGTTACAGCACTGCTTCTGCACAGAACTCCCTGCATGCTTTACAGGGCAGACTGACTGTTATCTCCTAGGAATTGTTCACATTGGCAAGCTTCTGCAGAAATTGCTTTCTTCCCCCAGTGCTAAGATCTGTGCTTCTCCCTTTCCAATTTATGGGTATATCTGACCGCTTTCCCTGATGGACTTTGTCAAGTGGCAGCTCCTGAAAAATGGGATCCAAACATTTCCAGCAAGATGAGTTTGAATCTTTGACTATGACTTATTCATGTATTTTGTAAACATATATATATACACACCTGGGGAGCAGGGCCATAAAGTATTCTCCAAAAAAGGAAAAGGCCTGATTGGACTTCTTGGATTCCTTCAATATATTAATGCATGGAACAGGTTTAGAACAAACATTCTGCCCTAAATAAGCTCAAACTTTTTATTTTGGAAGTGGTATTTTTTTCATCTTCCTGTGTATTAAATATACATAGGAAAGAACGGTACTTACAGCATAAGAAGAGAACCGAATTGAAAACAAAATGTCTTTATTCTCAAACCTGAAATGAATTTTATTGTATCAAAAGGCAAATCGGTAGCGCTCGTAATCCTTGTGTTTGAGAAAAAGAAGGTGAATAATCTTTCCCTTTTTAAACTTACTTCTATACTGTTTCTGACTCTCCCACCTCCCCTGAAAAAGCCAAGCAAGTTCCCAAGAAATCTGCTTTTTCCTGTCTTTAGGGAAGAAATCCTAAACCTTCCATCTTACAGATATCATGAGCATGGATATCTGATGATTTAAAACAAACAAACAAACAAAACATATCTTAGTTGTATTGGTCTCTCTTTGGGACATCCTTGTCCTCTCTCTTTCTGTTTTTCAAGAAGAGATTCTACTAAAACAATAGATGTTGGTATGTGACCTCAGGGCTAATGGAAATGTCTTTATATATCTATTCTGTTTATCTGTCATTTCATCTAAAGTGTCTGTGTGTCTCTTCACTGTACTCTTTGCTTTTGTCTGTCCTTCTCCTACACGGTATCTCCTTTCTCCCCACAGGACTATGAGAGTAAGCTCCAGGCCTTACAGAAGCAGGTAGAGACTCGATCCTTGGCAGCTGAAACAACAGAGGAAGAAGAGGAAGAAGAAGAAGGTGAGTTTGAAACTAAAAATGCTTTGAACATAACCAAGCCTAAAGGAACAGTTGCTATATAATGACTCTTGCAATAGATGGAAAACTTGCTTTGGAAACCCATGAAGCTCTTCATAACCTCTAATCCTGTAATTTCCATAGTGTAATAATGTAAAATACCTTTTCATAGAATAGATCCCACATAAGCAGCAGATATACATCCCTAAATTCAATCGAGACACAGATTAATCTAACCACAAGCTTTGATTTCATGGTCTTGAATTGGAAGGAGTCTGCATATTCTTGGTTCTAACTGAGTTCAGGTGTCTTAAACAACACTACTAATGTATTTGTTTCCTTGTTTTGTTTTTGAGGTTTCTTTTTCCTCCTTGGTAGGAATTTTTATAGTGTGTGCTGTGAGGTTATATCTCTGTTTCTGGACAGTAGATAGAGAGCTTTGTTATTCCCATAATACTTGCTTGCTTCCAGCATTTCAGCATTTGGTTTTAATTATTGCTAACTAATTAAAAAGAGGAGTAGCATTTGTTTTGTTTTGTCTGCTCTAAATCTTTTAACTTGTTTTGTTCATTATGTCTTCAGTGCAAGTGGTGAAATATTGAATCTAGTTTTTCTCATTGAATAATAAAAATGCAAGTTTTAGTTTTCTGTTTTTTACTTTCAGAAAAATTGTTTACAATTTGATGACACAGTCCTATTAGATAGTGCATGTGGTGATTTAGAGAAGAAGCCACGGTGTTTAATTACTCTTTCTTTGCTCTTTCCAGTGCCCTGGACACGGCATGAATATGAACTAGCTCAGTGGGCTTTCAGGAAATGGAAATTTCACCAGTTCACTTCATTAAGGGACCTACTCTGGGGAAATGCAGTGTATCTGAAAGAAGCCAATGCAATCAGTGTAGAGTTAAAGAAAAAGGTAGAGCCATGCAGAGTATCTTTTTGAATATTCTGACTCATTGATATTGACTGTGTAATCCTGCTTCAAATACTCAGTTATTTGTCGTCTTTAAAATTACATGTCTCTTGCTTATTCTTTTGAGTTTTAAAGGGTTCTGAAAATGATGAGCCTCTAATTAAGGCTCCTGACTGAATGAATATCCCATGCAAATCTGTCTGATATATTCTCCTGTTCTTCACTGCTTTCATGCTTCTTTCATGCTTCTTTCAAGCGTATGTATGTGCATGTTTCCACAGGGTCCTGTCTTTTTCTTTTCACCTTTAACTTAATGTGGTCATTCCTCTTTCCAAGAGAAGAGAGGTGGGTGCTTCTTCACTATCCTGCCATAGTGTGTGCTAAGAAAGGTCTACCGTTTTCTAGACCTCTGGCTTTGAAGATAAGAGCAAGATATATCTATTCATCTACAAAAATACTTTTTTTTTTTTTGGTGACACTATGAGACTAAAAATCATGTGACTTAACAAAACTGGATCTGTTCTCAGGGATCGAAGTCAAACTGGTTTTGTACTTTGCCTTAGGTCATGTCTCTGTCCTGTGTTTGTAATGTTGCTCTCTGTGATTTATCTGAACTAAAGCACGTTTTCTTTTTCTTCGTTCAGGTGCAGTTTCAGTTTGTTCTGCTGACAGACACCCTCTACTCACCACTGCCACCAGAACTTTTGCCCACTGAGATGGAGAAGACACGGGACAACAGGCCTTTTCCCCGGACTGTGGTAGCTGTGGAAGTCCAGGATCTGAAGAATGGAGCAACGCATTACTGGTCCTTAGAAAAACTCAAGTATGTAAATGTTATTGTAGAACCAACTTATTTATATGCAAGGAGCTATTGCTGTTCTTTCTCTTTGTTCTACTCGTTTTTCTCTGTCTCTACTTGTTTTTTTCTCTCCAAATGCCAACTTTTCAGACACTGCATTATGTTATAATACTAGCTTTACGGATTCTTTAAACGTGCATTTGTTCTCCAGCATTTCACCTAGCTTCCACGTTAACCTTATTAACTTGGACTTAAATTTTTTTTAATCTCATGGGGCTCATCACAGCTCATCTCTCTGCATCAGTGTTTTCAAGTTCCTTTAATTTGCAAGGTTTTCTTCCATTTCACTTTATATAACCTAGCACTATAGGACGCAATATATACGCTCAAATAAAGAGGATTCTGCTTCTTCTGAAACTCCCCAAATTCTGACTGTCTGTAATTTGAAATAATTAATTTCATCATATTCTTGCAAATATGCACAAGACACTTGTGTTTTCCCCACTCACTTTTGTCAAAATGCTGTCTGTAGAACTTTTTTCTCTTAATAACTTCTGCAAGAGAAAGATGTTGCAGTATGAAACCTCTATTTTCCTCAGTTAAAAAAAAAAAAAAGTGTATAATGGATTTGCTTTGCTTTTGAGTGAAAATGCTAATGTTTCTGGAGTGGTATGCAAAAACTCTAGAACTGCTCATCAATATCACCTATTGATTTGGAGGGAGGGGGGAAGTAAGCAAAAATGTGCCAAAATTAGGTGTGAAGGAGGAATTTTTAGAAGCTTGAACTTAATCTGAGATCTGCATACTCTTCTGCAGTGACCTTGCCTCACTGTGGTGTGGGCTTAGCCTACACAATTTTTCCTCGAACTGCTACCATGTCAGAGAATTGGTGCAGAACAGTGTTCAGGCTCTTCTGTTCTTTATTCTCTCTTTTCTCTGTGTACTTTTCAACAAAGTTTTATTCTGTCCCTGAATTCATCTCCCTTATTTAGTATACTTGATTTCAGTGTATCTTTCTTTGTATTCTCCATTTTTTTTCCCACTCTGCATTATTTTTTGTCCATTCTGCTTTCTTCTATGCAGGCAGAGGTTGGAGCTGATGCGAGAGATGTATGACAGAGCTGGGGAAATGACATCAAATACACAGGATGAGAGCGAAAGCACAATGACTGGCAGTGACCCCTTTTATGATAGATTTCATTGGTTCAAGCTCGTTGGAAGGTATGTGATGATAATCACTGTACTAGGAGTTGAGATAACTCTTGGCAGTTCCTGGATGGGCTTTATTTTTAATATAATTGTCAACTGTTTAGCCACTAGTGTCAGTTGTGTGTGTTGTCTTTCAGGGATTTTTGGTAGACTTGATCTGTAGTAAAGAGGATAAAACGCTCTTCAGAACCTTGTCAGTACTAGTGTAACTTTGTAGAATCTGATTCCACTGGGCCCTTCATAAGTTCTAAGTTTATTTATTAAAAAGGTGCCTAGCTACGTTCTGTTTAAAGTCACTGGAGGTGAGCTATGAGACTATGAATAGTACTGGAAAAACTGCAGGGAAAAGTGGCCCAGGGCTTTATTTATGTACATGATTCAAACAGTTGGTCACATTCTTTGGAAATACTGAATGTCTGATGAGATTCTTTAATGTTTTCTGATGTCAGCTGCATCTTCACAATTTTTTCATTTACAAAAATGCTATGTGTTGGAAATAAGTATTATAGCTCTATTGAATGGATGTGCTGTCAATATCTGTATGATCAGCCTTGTTTGTATTCATTTTTCATTTGCTTTCTGCTCAATCCAAGGACACCCTCATACCTGACTTTCTTAGCAATCCCTTTCCTTACGTTTCATTCCAGTCCAGATGGTTTGAAGGCTTTACTTGTTGTTCAGGTGGGCTCTGTGCTGATGGCAACGGCTGCCTGTTGAATGAAGCATTCTTCCTTCCCCTCACTATGTTAATCAGTATTCCGTTAACTGATATCTAGCTCCCCCATTTTCCATGGCTGCGTCAATGAGCGTCTTGCTGATCGCACACCCTCCCCTACTTTCTCTACGGCTGATTCCGACATCACCGAACTGGCTGATGAACAGCAGGATGAGATGGATGACTTTGACGAGGCCTTTGTGGATGATACTGGCTCCGACGCTGGAACTGAGGAGGGATCGGACCTCTTCAATGATGGGCACGACCCGTTTTACGACCGGTCCCCTTGGTTCATTTTAGTGGGAAGGTTGGTGAGGTTATTGTGAGAATGGCCAAAAGGGACCAGCTCTTGCTGTAGGCTGCAGTGGCTTTGCCTCATTTTGCACAGAATATCTATCAAGCCAATCAATAATAGTCATATACGTAAATTGGAATTGCCAGAGGTTGAGTGCAGTTTAATGTTAAGTTTCAGGTTCTACTGTCAGCAAGTTTGATGGTCTAGATAATAATTGAGAAGATAATCTTTAGATCGGACAACACGAGTGAATATATCTCGGATATATATCCATGATTGAATTTATCTCAGATAACTGCCACGTAGAATGAATGTGTTTTTTGCTTGTGTATACTAGTATTTAAGCCTTATTCATTCGAATGCCCTACTTGGCCAGTGCAAGATCACTAAGTAGTATCATAGTACATAATTTTCTTCTCTGAAAGATAATCACAGAATAGAGCATAAATTTGTTAAGTCCAGTCCAATAAATCTACTTTTGGAAAACTCATCTACCATCCTTTGTGTCTGATGAGAGAA